TGATTGAGAAAGAAATAGCAATGAGACAGTTTCAAAACATCTTGGTCTTAACCATCCAGCAGTAAAGTACAGAAATGAGGTATAAAAAGTAAAGGCAGGGCCGGGTAGATAGCTCAGTAGAATAAGTGCTTGCCTGGCAAGCACAAGGTCCTGAGTTCAATCCCCAGTACAACAAAAAAATAAAATTAAAAAGTAAAAAGTAAAGCCATATTAATATGCTGAGCTGTAAAAGGCTCAAGTCAACAACTTCTGACATTGCCAGTCCTGCGGATAGCCCACTACTATTATGGACTACTGGATTATATTGGATTACTTTGCTGAATTCACACACCTACAATATTTAAATTATTATTTTCAATGCTGGAATCCTTATAACCCAGCACCTAATTTAATCCCTGGGACAGAAAGGTACTCAAAATATATTGGCTGAAGATGACACAGGCATTGTCCACAACATTGATAGACTCACACTGGAGAGAGAGAATGTGGACGTAAGTGTGACATAGCCTTTGGAGTACAAAAAAGGTTGTCAAGCTGATTAAAGGACTCAAAGTTGGGCAGAGTTCCGATGTATGGAAGTCTGGGAAAGTTTTCCCTCCACATTGTTGTCAAAGACATGGAAAAAGTCACACTGCAGAGTAAAGGTGTATATAAGCGAAGTGAGACAGCCTTTCGCTCATTTGTTCATTGCGAAAGGGACATACAGGTGAGATGCTATTCCAATAGAAGCGATATTTGTTCCTCAGCATGCTGTGCAGGCCCCGCCTCCAGGGTGTGTTGAGTGAGGCACTAAGACTGGGTGTGGCCGTGCATGCCTCTAGTCCTGGCACTTGAGAGGCTGAAAAATAGGATCACTAGGAGTCCGATCTACATAATGAGACCGTCTATTGAGACCTGTACTAAATATATATATTTTTAAAGTGTGTGAATACATTCAGTACAGAGGTGTTTTCAACTACATGAAATTACATGTGGGAGAAAGTGTACAAACCTTAAGGAAGAGATGCTGTAGTAAGCGTTAAGCTAGAAGGTCAGTGATGCACCCTCATGCCTAGTGTGTGAAAGGAAATCCTGGGGCCCATCACCACCAGCCCACATTTTGTGACAATGGGCTCAGCCCCTCATTAGAACATGGGGTCACAGCCTGGTTGCAGGCCTTTGAAATAGCACAGAAATGCCTGCTGAGAAACAGGATCTCAGTGAGCTGCCCCTGTACATAGCAGCCAACACCTTCATGGACAGCAAATGTGGCCCTGCTGAGGGACACTGGTTTCCTCCTGAGGGGACGCACACAGCATGGGATGAGGTCTTCCCGCAGCGTGCAGGGTAACCCTCGTTAGGTGACACTTGGGCGAGGCGAAATTTACTCTGAAAGGAACAGCTGTCATTCCTAAGGTGCTCCATGGTGGTCACCAGAATAAAGGTCATTTTGCATGTTTAAAAATATATATATATATATATTGGCTGAAAACACACGTTAATGACAAAACTATCTCAAAGACATCTATAAATTACAGAGAAAAGACATGGAAATACGGGACATATTGGAAAATATAGTAAACAACATTTTTCCTTAACTATCACTAGACGATTTATATAATCTATGTGACAAACACATACTTTAGTAATACCATCTAACAGTAGTATAAGTCAGGCATTTAGTTTTTTAAATACTCTTTTACTGCAAATGCTATTTCAGATTCTTAGAAAAATTAGGGAAAATGCTCACCCAAATACTTAAGTTTATATCATTATACATGTTTCACACAAGTAAATAACAAAAAGGTCACATACCAAATGGAACTGATCCACTTTTGGGATTCCATCTTCATCCATTTCAAATTCTTGATCTTGAACAAAAAGCTGTAACACAAGAGAAAGACTCTCAATGAAACAAAATACTAATCTTACAAAAGAGTCAAGTCTGGAACCTTAAAGTCCTAGTGAACTGAGAAGAATTCATTTTAAGAAGCACATTAACTGTTGCAGGATAAAAATACTCTGATAATAACTACCTGCTCAGAAGCAATCAAATGATTCCCGAGGCTCCTAAAACATCAATCATATGTGATATACACCCTATCAATACTTAAAGAAGCTATTACATATGGAGAATTAGTTATATACTAATGTAACTAATATACTAATAACTATAGTTATTACTAATTATAGTTACATACTATAATTATATAGTATATTAGTTATTACTAATTATAGTATATAATTAGTTATATGCTAATAACTAATATACTAATGACCATCATAAAAATGCCTTAATGACTATAGTGTCTACAGAGTAAACAAAAAAGCAGAATAATCCAATAAAGAAAGAAGTTGGTTTGTTGGGGGTTTTTTTGCTTTTTTTTTTTTTTTTGACAAGCTTTTTTTTTAATGTATTTAGTACAGGGACTACAGGGTCTCATTACACAGATCAGACTTGTAGTGATCCTCTTGTTTTAAGCCTCCCAAATGCTGGGATTACAGACACGCACCACCACGCACAGTCTCAATCACTGTCTCAGCACACCCCAGGGTCAGGGCCGGCACAGCATGCCAGGAATCGAACCCCAGCAGCTACACTCTGCCTAAGCAGGTGCTTTAGTCCACTGAGCTATCTGGCCAGCCCTGAGAAGTTATTGTTTTTAAATAAACAAAATGTTAAAACTAGATGGACTCAGAAAGTGGAAAGATATCCCCTGTTCTCAGATAGGAGAACCATATTGACAAAGTGGTCATTACTGCCAATTTGATACATAGATTTAATGTAATTTCAATCAAAACATAAATACAATGCCTCACAAAACTAAAGAAAATAATCCTAAAAAATATATGCAAGTAGAAGAGACCGTGGATACCAAAAGCAATCCTAGACAATAAGAGTAAAGCAGAAGGCACCACAATCCTGGACTTAAATTATACTATAAAGCTACAACGATAAAAACAGCATGATGTGGCACAAAAACATAAGACATATGGATCAGTGAAACAATATAAGACGAAGAAAGAACCTTAAGAATATTCAGCCATCTAATCTCACAAACAGAAGAAAAACACAGCACTGGAGAAAAGATATCCTCTTTAACAAGTAGTTCTGAGAATATTCACTATTCATGTACAGAAATTAAATCTAGACAAATATTTTTCATTATAAACTAAAATCAAAGTGATCAGATATAAATACTAAGACATAGCAATCTGCTAAAAAATAAAGTAAAAATTTTAAAACACAGGCACAAGTAAGGACTTTTTGAACAGACCTCTAACTTCATAAGACAAAACATCAAGAATCAACAAATGGGATTAGATCAAATTTAAAACCTACACAACAAAGGAAACCACCAAGAGCTGAGATAAACTACAAAATGGGAAAAAAATGTCAGCTATTCCTCAAAGGACTAATATCTAGAACATATGAAGAACTCAAAAAATCAGATCCCCTCCAAAAAATAAAAGGCCCACAACAAATGTTCAACCAAAATGAACAAACAGCCCTGACTCATCCACATGGCTGCACTGACAAAGGTTCTACAATCTGAGGTACAGGATCTCAGGATAAATCCTGAGGGCATTTCATTGACCTTCTCAGACCAAAAAGCTACAACTCTTGTTGCATAGGTCCTGCTTTACCTTGGTCTTAACCATCCAGTAGAAAAGTATGAAGACGAAATATAGGAAATAAAGCCATGCTGTTAAGTTGAGCTGTGGGGGACTCAGGTCAATAATTTCTGACACTGCCAGTTAAACAGAAGACCCAATGCTATTATGGGCTACTGGACTCTTTTAGAATATTTTGCTGAGTTTACACACCTATAATATTCAATAACGGAAGTTAGAAAAAATGGGGTATACCTATGAATGTCCATTTTGTATCTGTGTATTCAAAGTAGTTGGGATAGATATATAGTTGCATTCTCTTAATGAATAGAATGATTTGTTCTAATGGTGTTTGTAAATAGGATCACAAGTCCTCTTCTTGTACAGCAATTAACCACTAAGAAGAATATATGCAGTGTATTATTTGTTGAAACTGTACTTCCGATTTGATTTGAAAATGTCTCATTGCTATGTTTATCAATAAAACTTTGAAAAAAAAATGAACAAACACTTCTCAGAAAGAAATACAAATGGCTAATACATACATGAGAAAATGTTCAATGTTGCTAGCCATTAGAGAAATACAAATTAAAGCAATACTGAGATTGCACCTTACTCCAGAAAGAATATTCATAATCCAGAAATCAAATAGTAAATTCTGGAGCTGCATGGAAAAAAGAAGTAAACTGTACGGTTGGTAGGAATAAACTAGGATAACTGCTATGGAAATCAACAGTGGAGATTCCTCAAAAAACTGAAACTAGAGGTTTACATTTTGAATTATTTTCTGGTTTTAGATGATGTCCTCTGTGTCCTACTTAAGAAATAGTTCCCATATTCAAAGTCTTATCTTTTTCCTGCTACATTCTAAAAGTTTTATTAGAGTTCAGTTTTGTATTTAGAACTAGTATACATTTTGAATTCAATTTTACATTTCATGTGTGGATAAATCGAGGCTTATTCTTTGACCTATGGTTAGCATATGGCTAGCCATTTGTTCTAGAACCACTTACTTTGAAGATTCTCCCTTCAGTTAGATAACCACCTTTGTGCCTCTGTCAAAAGTAAACTGACCAGATATAGGTAGGTCTATTCCCACTGTTATATTTTGTCTCATTCATTTATACGTCTAACCTCACACCACTGTCATACTGTCTTGGTTTACAGTAACTTTTTATCAAGTCTTAAAACCAGATAGTGTAAATTATCTAATTTTGCTCTTTTTCAAAATTCCTTTCATTATCCCAGATCCTCTGTATATATAAATTACAGAATCTAATTGCTCCAAAAAAAGTCTAGCATTTTTGTTGAAACAGCACTGAATCCACAGACCAATGTGAGAAGACATGAGAATTCTAAACAAAGCTTCCAGTCCATCGGTATGCTAGGCTTCCTCCTTTATCTAAGTTTTCTATAATTCCTCTCAGAAATGTTTAGTAGTTTTAAGTGTAACAGGCATTATATCTTTTGTTAAATGTCAAAATTTCAATAACTTTTATACTTTATTAATGATTATTAAATATCAATTTCCTATTATTTGCTTATTCCTAAACATTTTGTTGATTCTTAGACTAGAATCTCTAGTGCAATACTAAATAGAAAAACAAGATATTCTTTCCCATTAATATTTAATCCCTCATAATTATTAAACTACAAATAAAAAAGTTATGTTTCATTGAGAGTGGAAACATTTACACAAGATCACTTAGTATTTTCCACATACCCATGAACTACTTCCAGATTAATATAGTGCAAAATTATCTTCACTACTAATATTGGCTTTAACAAAACTTTAACACCTATGACAGATATCTAACAAAATTACAGAAGGTACACAATAGGTAAGAGAAAGTATATGAATAGTTTATGATAAAAACTAAACACTCACTAAAAGTCTATCACTTCAGAGCAACATGTTAAGGACAATCACAATCATTACCATTTTACATAATGAAATATAAAGTGATCTATTTAAAAAAATAACATACCCACAATAAAAGGCAGCCATATGCATACAAGTCTGAACTTGGAGAAGGAGGTTTACCCATTTTCAGTTCAGGTGATGTCAAAGTCAAACCACCAACCGTCATGTTCACTGATGCCCGCTGACTCTACAAAAACAGTACTGCATTTTGAATATTTTAGGGAAATACAGTTGGAGTAGCTTTATATGAAATACTCTGCATTTAATTAAAATTTTTATTTGAAACATTTTATTCTATTGGTTTCAAATATTTTTATTGAATTTCTATTATTAAATAAAATGCTCTTAAAGTACATCTCAAAATTGGCACTGAAAATTTCACTACAATCTAATTATAGAATAAGACAGATTTAAAATATCAATCATTGATTCTTTATTACTACTGATACTCGGATATTCTTTTAATAAATTTTTTTAATTTATGTGTGTGTGTGTGTGTGTGTGTGTGTGTGTGTGTGTCCAGCTCAGCCCACCAGGGGGCGAGGCTGGCTGGCATGTGGTGTTGGGGGAGTGAACCGTGGTCCCTGTGCTTTGCTTAGCTTGTTCTAAGTAGGTGCTTTAGACCACTGAGCCATCTCACCAGCCCTCTTTTAATAAATTTTAAAGAGTGAGAAGCAATACTATTTTCTAATTCTGAAATTTTTCTATTGATTTAAACTGAACTTCTACAAAATTCTTTACTGTTTTCCAAATGTACCATCTCTGACATTTTAAAGAATGGTCAACAAAAATATTACCCTTAAATTCAGTCAGACCTTAGCTATAATCCCTGCTCTGTTTATTGGCTGTGTGATACATAGGCTTTAATCTCTTAAAATCTAAATTTCTATAATGGAAATATCTACTTTATAGAGTTGTAATAAATGTAAACATAATTAGCACAGTCCTCAGCACATATCACTAAATGTTAATTATATTTATATATCTATCTTCTCCACCTACCACCTTTATTTTTGCTTTTTAAGGCATTGTTCAAAGACCCTGCAACAAGTAAGGCATCAACTGGAAACTTGTTAAAAATGCAAAATCTCTATCCCGGAAACGTTGAAAATTCATTTGCATTTCAGCAAGATTCCCAGGTGATTCATATGACTGTAAAATCATTCAAAACCAATGATCTTGAATTGACTATTGTCCAAATTTCTCTTCCAGACTTATGCTTCTACACGAATGTAGCATGAAAAATAATTAGCAAAGTAAGTTTAATCAATACTTCAGAATAGGGCTAGAGAGATGGCTCAGTAGAATAAGCGTTTGCCTGGCAAGCACAAGGGCCTGAGTTCAAGTCCTGGTTCCAGAAAAAAATAAATAAAAATACTTCAGAATAAGTAATTTAGACTGAAAATTTTAAAAATGTTTCAGGAAATAACAGGCGACAAATGAGTATAAACAAAGAAGAGTAATTCTTAGAGCAGTTATTTTTATATCTGTACAAAAGGTACACTTGAAGTGATAAGGATCCCTAAAAGTTAAGATCTTTCTCACTTTAATTTTTATTTTTTAGAAATAAAGTTTCACTAAGTACTTGCTGCTGGCCTAGAACCTACCATGTAGCCCAGACTAACCTGGGACTTGTGATCCTCTTGCCTCAGCCTCCTGAGTGCTGAGATTACAAGGTATGTGCTACCATGCCCAGCAGAGTAGCCTTTAAAACTCAGAATTTAGTGAGAAAAATATGATAAACATCTCAGAAAATCAGTCTGTCTTAATCCTGTATAATCTAACTTTTGACTATAGTTTTACATTTTTACTTTTTCATCTTTTTGAGCTACCATATGAAAGCTGTTGAGATAACATTTATAGAGGTGGCATTACCCTATGATTTTCAAGTGACCAAAGTAAAAAGCATTATGACATAAAATAGTCAAAAGGCATTGCTCAGGTAATTAAAGTTGGCAAAGATTTGGAAAACCTAGAACCTTTATACACCATTTAAGAGAATGTAAAATGAATCAGTCACATTGAGAAAGTTAAATTCCTCAAAAAAGTAAAACAGTTACTACATAACCTAGTAATTTGCCTCCTAAGAGAAATGAAGACATGTTTATATAAAAACATGTACACTAATGTTCATAGCAACATTATTCATGACAACCAGAAAGTGTAAACCCAAACAACCATCAACTATTAAATCTATGAACAAAACATGATATATATACAATGGAGTATTAGGACAAAAAATGAACTTTGAAAATGTTACTGAAGTAAAATAAGCCAATTACAAAAGGCTACATATTGTATGATTTCATTTTGAGGTGTCCAGAATAAGCAAATCCTTAGATACAGAAGTGTATTATTAGTTTTCTGAGCCTAACTAGTGATCACAATATACAAATTAATAATGGCTTCTAATAAGTAGAGCATTTCTTTTTAGGAGTGATTAAAAATGTTGTGGAACTTGGCATGGTGATGCATGCCTATAATACCAAGCACTCAAAGATCAGACAAGTGGATCACAAGTTAGTGGTCAACCTTAGCTATCTAGTGAGCCTGAATGAACTACACAGCAACAACCTGTTTCAAAAGAGAAAAAAAAATTCTGGAATTAGGTACTAACAATCAATGTACAACTTTATGAATATATTAAAAAACTAATACTGATTTGTATACTTTATATGTTAATTATATCTAAATAGTTATTTTTAAAATGGGAACTGATGATTTAGCCATTTCACCATGTACATATTTCAAAAGATGTACATACTAAAGTTATAACTTGTATTTATCAATTAAGTAAGGAACTCTGCCCACATGACCATGTGTACTTTGAGACTGCCACCGCTTATCAAAAACATTTACATGTTCATAATCATGTGATTTTTGCTACCTTTAAGGTAACACATCACGAAATTAACAGCCACTGTAGTTGAACCAGAACTAAATGAAGAAGTCCAAGATTCCTAGACTTCTCAATGTACATCATAATCAAAACATAGTGAAGTTCTTGCATAATTCCTAGCAACTGAATGGTTCCTGGTGATGATAAAAAATTTATATTAATGTCAATACCATTTAGTATAATGTCATGTTGCTTCTAAGATATTTGATCACAATATACAATGCAAGAACTTAGAAACTAAAAAAAAAACTTAGAAACTATCATCTAACTGATAGCAGATAACTGTTTATACAATATGATACACCTTAACTGAATGTACAGATCCTATACATTAGCATATCATGAGTAAGTGAACTACTGCTCAATGGCATTAAATGAAGTCTAGAACTTATTTGTAAGATTATGATGTTTTACCACAGATTTGGTGAAATCAAAATCCCCAACAATTCCTTGTTCACGATTTAAAGCAAATATATTGTTCTGATGAAGTGATCCATGAATTATGTTGGCCTTATGCAATGTATGCAAGCCCTGGGCAACACCTTTCATAACCTTTAAAGCTTCCTATAGGTTAAAAATAAAATAGGTTAGAAAATAGGAAAACCATTTTAATTCAAAAATGTTTTTTCTATTAAAAGACTGTTCTATGTTTGATATTCAGATAGATACTAATGTTAAGCTCAACAGCCTATGTTCTAGGGTAATAATATCATTAAGCTTCTCTTCTGGAGAGTTAACAACTTAAGTTTGCAGACCAAAAAATTAGAGAACAAGATGGGCTACAAGGATAGCCAACATTTTGGCACTAGCCCTTCAAGGTCAGGGAGGACTCAGGACATAAGAGAACCTGTACTGTAACATCCTGTAACTCAGTGCTGTCCCAAATTCCCTGATCAAGGAGATTATGGGGCCAGAGAGGAAAGTGATCGATGATGTATAATGTGCCTAAGGAGAGTTACATGAAGAGAAAACATTCTCAGGCTTTCACAGAGAGAAAAGTCAAGCAATGGCCGTGACTCATCTGCATGGCTGACACTGACAAAAGATCTACAAACTGCTATATAGGGTTTCAGGGTAAGTCCTGAGGGGATCTGACTGATCTTGTCAGATACAAAAGTTACATTTTTCATTATATAGGTCTTGCCTTATCTTGGTCTTAACCATCCAGTATAAAAACGAGGTATAAAAAGGAAAACCATATTAATATGCTGAATTGTAAAAGACTCAAGTCAACAACTTCTGACATTGTCAGTCATGAAGTTAACCCACCACTATTATAGACTACTGGACTATATTGGATTACTTCGCTGAATTCATGCACCTACAATATATAAGTGGCAATGGAATACACATCTCTAACAAAAGTAAACAAAAATGGGGGATATAAATGAAGGTCTCTTTTGTAGTGAAAAATTATATATATATATATATATATATATATATCTGTATATACAAAACAGCATAGATATACAGCTACTTAGTTCAATGAGAAGTTTTGAACTGACAGTGTTTAGACAAGGTATCTTCATCTTGTACTATGAATAAGTACTACTAAGATGACAACATGCAATGTATTAATTATTGTAACTGTCCTATTAACCTGTTTTGAAACTATCTCACTGCTACTTCTTTCTCAATAAAATTATTTTTTTTTTAATTTATTTATTTTGTGTGTGTGTGTGGCCAGCTCAGGCCACCAGGGGGCGGGGCTGGCTGGCATGTGGTGCTGGGGGATTGAACCGTGGTCCCTGTGCTTTGCTTAAGCTTAGCTTGTTCTAAGTGGGTGCTTTAGACCACTGAGCCATCTCACCAGCCCCAATAAAATTATTTAAAAAAAAAAAAAAACTGTTCTAGGAGCCAGGGAGATGGCTCAGTAGGATAAGCGCTTGACTGGCAAACATAAGTATCTGAGTTCAATCCCTGGTTCCACCAAAAAAAAAAAAACTGTTCTACAGCTTCCTCCAAGTGCACTTTTGCAGACAATACACCATGAAGGATTAAAGATGAGATGAAGCCTTGATTATGCTACTGGTGACTCTCATGTATGTTTATGTTATGACTATATATTTAATACTTATTCCATAGTTTCTAAGAAAACTCAGACTATATGTTACTATGAAAAGCATCTAGGAAAGAGGCTTAAATAGCATTATTAGGTAAATAGATTCATAGCCTCTTTTATTGTTATTACCATAGTAACTCTAAATGTGTAGTGATTAAAAATTATAGCTATCAATTTATATATAGCATACTTCAGTTTCTGGGGTTTTTTAAATGTATCTGATACAGGGTCTCACTACGCAGTTCAGACTCATAGTGATCCTCTTGTTTTCAGCCTCCCCAGCACTGGGATCATAGGTGTGCACCACCACATCAGGTCTCAGTTGTTGGCTCAGTGCACCCAGGGGTTGGGCCAGCATGGTATGTGGTGCTAGAGTCAACTGAGCTATTTCACCAGCCCTCAGATTTCAATTTTAAGTTTAGACTTGGAACCAAAAATGTCTAATTTCAAGTTCCAACTCTACCTCTGGCTGAGGCACTCTCCAAGTCATTTAATCCCTCTACATCTCATTTTCTTATCTGTGCAATAGGATTAACTCCCACATGGAAGGACTAACATGACAAAGTAACACAAGCCAAACTTTTACATCATATATCATGTAGTATATATAACCCAGATAAGTATTAAGGGTTAAGCATAAGGTGCTATTTTCTCATTTAATATATCCACAGAAAGTCTTTTTTACTTACTTCTGATGATAAAGGCATTTTGGCTTGAATAACACTCAGGTTTGCCCTAGGATAGTATGGGACCATGAGATAAGCCACAGGATCAGACTAAGAAGCAAAGCAGAGAATGTGACTCAAAGCAAAATATTCAACACATTTTTAGTATACACTGATTCTATAAAACAATGTTCTTTGCTAAAAAGAATTACTAGTCTAAAATTTGCAGCAAAAGCTTACTTTAAGTAAAACATTTTCTCTAAGAGCTTAGCATAAGAACTTGATTTACCTTACACAAAAACAGGAATATTAATGGCAATAACCCAGACTCTTCTTTAGCTTCTCTCCAGGCTCTGTGATAGGCGGCTGCTCTCTGAATCACACTGGCTTCTGTGTCTACATCCACAGAATATCCCTTGAAATTAAAAAAAAAAAGAAAGAGGCACTGGTAATTTCAAGACTAAAACTTCTACTCTTAATTATACATTACTCAAATGTAGTAAGTGATTTTATGTATATTAAATTATACCTAATTTTATTTTATTTTGGATGTTTTAATTTGGAAAGGAAAAAAAGTGTATTATAAGCAATGAAGGCAACTTATATACTATCATGATGACTGATAGTTTCCCATATCAATGACAGGGAGAGAATTAAAAAGCATAAATTGTGTTGACAATACGGCTGAGATTTTGAATAGAAATCGAGGAAAGAAACTTCAAGAAGCTGTTAAGAGGGGCTTGATCCCCTTTGTGCCATTCTGGCCCCATCCCCAAGGCATGCTTTAAGACAGCTACTGAGACTGGGCGTGGTGGTGCATGCATGTAATCCCAGAGCTTGGGAGGTTAAAAACAGGAGGATCACTATGAGTTCAATTTGTGTAGTGAGACCCTATAGGCCTTATATTAAATACATTTTTTTAAAAAAAAAGCTTTTAGATAAAAATGTAGTTAAAGTTCATTCACAAAAAGGAAAGCAAGTTAAAAAAAGCAAGTAAGTATATATTAAAAATAGGTACTATTTGGGGAAATGTGGGATACTTTGAAGTCAAATTAGTTTTGGCAACCATACAAGAAAAGCAATTATGATGTTAGCCATTCTACATACTTTAGAAGACAACATAATGGGTTTTTTCTTTCTTGAAAAATAATACCATCACTCCCTTTTATACCTCCCACTCTCCCAAAAGTCAGAATTTGGTATTACCTTTAAAAGAACTGTCTGTCCATTAACTTCAGTGCGTACCAAAGGACGCTTGCTGCTAAGTTCCTTCATGGGCTCAGCATCAAAAAGATCTCTCTCTAAGCTCATAGTAAAAAGACCTCCAGAATTCTAGGTACAAATTTTATTATAGATAAAAAAAATTTTTAAATCAATATTTTAAATCCATAGTTACATGCTATTAAAATGGATACCATCAACAGTATTAAAAATAAAATAAAAATATTTAATTTTTTATTAATTTCATATTTTTGCTAGTTTTTCACTCCAGGACTCCACATACCCACAGTGTAATCATCATAAGTGTAATTATTGCTATAGTTCTAGAACAGACCCTAGAAATGGCGGGGCTTAACTATGCGTGTTTCTGAGAGAACCCTAATGCTTACCTGAAAAATCTCACATGCTTCCTAAAAATATTAAAATAACAACAAATCTTAAAAGTAGCTATATAACTAGAATAAAATGTCTAAAGATGTCTACTATGAAGTAATTCTAACACTTCTGCCTAAGTCTGAAGTCTTCAAAGGTGAAAATGGTTTTGAATTACACTGCTACTTTCTGAAGGAATAATATGCTCACTAAAATCTGATAGAATATTTCAAGTCAAACTAGGTTTTAAAACAATAGTTGTAGGGCCGGGGAAATAGTTCAGTAGAATAAGTGCTTCCCTGGCAAGCACAAGGGCCTGAGTTCAATCCCCAGTTCCCGGGGGGGGGGGGGGATCGTTACAGTAACACAGGGCCTTAATTTTCTAGTTTAAATATTGTCACTATATTTAAATAATCTGTAATACATAATCAACTTCCAAAATATCCCCAAGGATACATTTTAAAGTCATCAAAGGCTGTCATAAACCACAATTCAAACCTTTTATAATCTACAATAAATTTATATATTTTTTAAAATTAATTTTCAAGTCTTCTGTTGCCACACATAATTACATACTATATGAGATAGTCTCTAAGCTAAATAGTTGCTAGAAAAAAATGTCATTTTAAAGTCTACCCTGGGAAGACTTTATAGTAATTGTTTAGAGAATTTTCATCTTATATATTTATGAAAATAAACTTATGTTTATACCAACAGCTGGGGGCCGGGGAGATGGCTCAGCAGAATAAGCACTTGCCTGGCAAGTGCAAGGGCCTGAGTTCAATCCCCGGTACCGCAACAAATAAATATACCAACAGTTGTTTTTAAACTATTTATTATTTTGGACTTAATGACAATCTTAAAGAATAAACACAGTTGACTCTCCACATCCACAAAGTCCACATCAATGAATTCAACAAACTGCAATTTTTTTTAAAAGTAAAGGTCTACAGGGTCTCACTATGTAGATTGGACTTGTAGTGATTCTCCTGTGTTCAGCCTCTCAAGAGCTGGGATTACAGGTGTATGCCACCATGCCCAGTCTCAACAGCCATCTCAGCACACTCCAGAGGCTGGGCTGGCAGGGCAGGCCGGGATCGAACCTCCAACCCTTGCATCTACCTAAGCAGGTGCTTTAATCTGCTAAGCTATTTGGCCAACCCCCAACTGCAAAAATCAAAAATACAAAAAAAAAAGAAAAAACCTACATGTCTGAAATGAACATGTACACTATAGTCTATCATTTTCTAAACAATACTATGTAGAAACTATTTAAATAGCAGGCACTTGGTAGTATCAGACTAGAGATAATTTGAAGTACATAACAGCATACACATAAGTTACATGCAAAAATTAAGCCATTTTATATAAGGAAGTTGAACATCTGGAATTTTAGTAAAAGTGACCAAAGGGAATGAACAAATGACCTATGGATGACAAGTAACAACTGAACCTCATCTAGCTCCTTAGCCTTTGCAAAAAATATAAAATGTGGAGTTAACAGATTGTACTGAGTGCCAGAATTTACTAACCCATACTGTCCCTAATATCCTAGTCTCCCTGCCTGCCTAGCAAACCAAACCCACTGCGATATATTTACGTTAACCTACTTCTCTCAAAAATTTTTGTGGGATTGATCAAGTGAAAGTCTGAACATGGGCAAAATGATGGAAGAAACACTAGAAATTATACATGAAAGATGTGATAATAAGAAAGTGATATTGGAATACAAATTGGAACATATGGATCATTGAAGTTTAGGTTCATGAATAATGCAAAATTCTGATGATGAAAAATAATTTAAGTTGGAAAAAAGACAGGGATGATTGTGTTATCCTATCCTGGAAAGAGATTAAAATAAATGATTGAATTAAACTGTTAAAAAAAAATTTTGTCAACTACATTAACCTAAAAGACATGTGTTTAAACTTCTCATAACAATATTCTATTTATATACTAACTATTGCAACAGCATTTAAATTTTTATCATTTCAAGACTTCAACACCTAAGGACAGTTTCAATAATAAATACATTGCACATTGTTTTCTCAGTGGTTATTCATTGTACAAGATGCAGACATGACATCCCGTCCACAAACACTATTAGAACAAATCTTATTCAATGATTTAAGACAGTGTAGCTGTATATCTACCCTATTTTGAAGATACAGATACAAAATGGTCTGTCATTTCTATCCCCTTTTTTGTTTAGTTTTGTCAGAGAAGGGTATTCCATTGCCATTTAAATATTGTGAGTGCACAAATTCAACAAAATATTCCAGTATAGTCCAGTAGTGGGTCATCTGCAAGACTGGCAATGTCAGAAGTTGTTGACCTGACCCCTTTACAGCCCAGCATACCACCATGGCTTCACCCCATAATTATCTCATTTTATACCTTTCTGCTTGGTTAAGACCAAGATAAAGCAAGGTCTATATAACAAGGAACGTAACTTTTGTATCTGATAAGGTCAGTCAAATTCTCTCAGGATTTATCCTGAAACACTGTACCGCACTTTGTAGATCCTTTGTCTGTGTCAGCCATGTGGATAAGTCACAGCTATTGCTTGACCAATTTGAAGAGAACACTTAGATGAGGATCACAGAGCTGTACCCTTGCACATTATATGTGATGCTTCACCTGTTTCTGTGGTACTGCCCCCCTGCTGTGCCCCAGTCGCCATGAACTATGCAGTTTTGTTCTGCCATACCTTTCTGCCATGATGTTCCTGTCTGAGAACCACATGACTGCAGACTGAATTCCCTCCAACTGAAAGCCTAATTAAATCTTTCTTCTTCTTAAATTTTGAGTATTGGATATTGTGGCCAGCAATGAGAAAACTGACTAAAACATTGTGTTGGAAGGAAGAATGGAAGGAGGAAAGGTAAGAAGGGAGGAAGGGAGGAAGGAGGAAGGAAGGGAGGGTGGGAGAGTGGGAGAGTGGGCAGGCAGGCAAGAAGGATCGAAGGAAGGGGAAAGCTGGGAGAGAGAGCTCAGTGAAAAGGCCCTGGGATCGATCCCACTCTAAAATTTAATTAATTATTTTAATTGAAAAGATAAGACATGGTGGCTCATGCCCACAATCTAAGCACTATGGAATTAGAAGGCAGGCAGATCACAAGTCTGAGCCTAGCCTGGGCAACTTAGTGACTTAGGGAGTACTTGTGTCAAAATAAAAAATTCAGGGGCTGGGGATTTGGCTCAGCGGTAGAATGCTTGCCTAGCAAGCTGGAAGCCCTGAGTTCAGTCCTCGGCACCAAAAACAAAAAATAAACCTCCCCTAAAAAACAACTTAACCAAAAAAAAAACAGTAAAATCAAAAAATCCAAACAGTTGAAGATGTAGCTTAATGTGGAGGCTCTTGGTTTAGTCTCTAGAACTGCAATCAATCAATCAATCAGCCAGTCAATATCTATCATTCAAAAAAGGGCCATGACACAAGATGAAAATACAGAAAAACATGCAGATTAAAATAAAAAGGAAAATGTGCCCTATGCACCTATTTAAGATCTTGATAACCTTCTAACAGTACTTTTTAAGTATTCATCAGGGAACCAGTGAGATAGCTCAGCGGCATAAGTGCCTGCCTGACAAACATGAGGTCCTGAGTTTGATCTCCAGTATCAAAAACAAATATTCATCAGGAATTTTATACAAAAACAATACTGCAAATTTAACATCGATACACAATTTTAAAATCATCACTTTTTTATACTTTGCAAAATAATAACTTTAAAGGGAAACAAAGATTACCATGTATTTACGTAATCCTATTTCAGTGTGAAGCAGAGGCAGCTCAGGGAACCATTTCTGGGCCAAGTTATTCAATTTTTCCTTAAGTTAAAAAATACAAGTTTGTTTCATGTCAGCATATATTCAATTATGACATGTTGTTCTTCAGAAAAATATATCAGCATTAGATTTCCTAGATATGTAACATATCTTTATCATTGAGTTAGACCACTACTTTAAGAAATATAAAGCAAAACCAAGAGACAACTTGAATCTAAATTACCACTTCACAAATGGAGAATGAAAAACTTAATTAACAATGTTATGACTGGTACATATGTAAACACAAATATTGCCTAAAATCAAAGTCCAGTCACTTCCAAATTAAAATGAAAAAGTGTGATAATACATCGATTTGAATTGTAAAACTGTCACTTCTCAAAAATATTAAATTCAGTTTTAATATTTTAATACACTTTTAAAATAAAAGTCTTGAAGCAAAAAATATGTAATTCTACATAAATCATTTTGAAGCAAATGTGAAATTTTAGGAGCCCTTACAAAAGTTACACATCACATGCTTCTACACATCCATCAAATATAAAAATTAGTAAGATATTACAGATTCATAAAATATTAGTTTGCTAATAAAGCATGACATTTAAAATATGTTTTCATGTTATTTTTATTTCCAGAAGTTTTTAGCTAATTTCTTCCCCATAATATCCCTCAGATATATATGCTCTTTTTTTTTTAATGTTTCCTTTATTTATTTCTTTTTTCTTTTTTTTTTATGGTCAGCTCAGCCCACCCTGGGGGCAGGGCTGGCATGGCACGTGGTGCTGGGGATCGAACCAAGGTCCCTCCCTGCATGTTTGCCTAAGCTTGCCTAAGCAGGTGCTTTTGACCACTGAGCTATCTCGCCAGCCCATAGCCCTCAGATATATAATGCAGTATTCTTTCCATTGTAAAGTAAAACTACAGTGACTAATTCTCTTTTTTAAAAAAATCACTAAATTAAAGATTTAAACTTCCCTCAAACTAGGTAGTTTTAATATAGTAAATTCTTCAATTAAGTATGCATTTCATTAATGTTAGCAGTGCAATATGATAAAATGTTCATTAGGTTCTTATGAACAAGGCCTTATGCTTTCTCTTACATGAAAAACAAGAGGCAATAGCACATATGCACATGCAAAAATGAGTACAAAAAAATTCTAAAAAGAAAGCCTTAACAATGATCACTACTGTTACCACTAAGAAAGCTATATGTAATACTTTTTCCTTCCTCAAAATTTCTTCTAACTTTCACATTGGTACAATAGTCATAAATTATTTTGTTATGAGAAAATAATTTAAAGCTGGGAGTATTGCTCAGCAGTAGAACTCTTGTCTAGCATGTGGGAGACCCCAACTTCAAACTCCAATATTCCCCCAAAATGTTAATTTCTAAATTCACATAAATATTTCTATGTAGGCCAAGATAACATCTCCAGCCATATGATTACAGTGAATCTCATAAAATGGACATGATTCAATTTCTACCATAAAATCTAATTTAAATTTTTAAATACTTACATATTCCTCCCTCTCATGGTAAATTTCCACAAAGACACTATTACGTAACTGTGTTATTTCTTGTTTTATTTTTCCAATTTCAGATCCATCAGGGTCATCAGACTTTAATTAGAAAGAATAAAATGGCTTTACAAGTTTAGTTAAGCAGACTGAAAATAAATCTTCCTGTAAGTATAAATGCAATTTCTATGCCTAGCATACAAAAGGCCAATTCCCAAGACCAAATAAAACAGAAAAAATGTAATTTTTATAGTTAAGTATTCTGTGTGATCTCAGTACATATTATATAATTGAGCCTTATAACACCTGCTGAATTAACTTAAATCAGTTTATTTTAACACTGAATTTTTCAAAACCTATATAAAAGAATCATAAAAAATAAAGACAAGGGGGGCCAGGGAGATGGCTCAGTGGAATAAGCGCTTCCCTGGCAAGTGCAAGGGCCTTAGTTCAATCCCTGGTTCCACAAAAAATAAATAAATAAATAAATAAATAAAGACAATTATATAGATTTTTCTTGTTTCTGACTTCGCATAGATTTTCTCAAATACAAGTGACTAACTACAACCATAAAGCAAATGTCATGAACAGAAGTTAGAGCTGAATTCTCTGACACTGTTTTTTAATATTTGCCAGAAACACAGCAAATAAAAAAATAAATGCATAAAGCATCTACTACAGGAAAAATATGGAATTCACAAAGTACTCCATAAAACAATGGTATTTTAATAAATAAACCACCTCACAAAAGAAATATGCTTTGAAAGTTAAATTTGTTTCTCCAAAAGCTGAAAAGTTAGATTTAAAAAGGCCACCTTGCCTGTGAAGGTCACTGGAGACAGCTATTCTGGGAAACCGTGTTCACCTAATTTGATGAGCAATAAATTTTAAATACATTTAAAAATAAACAAATAAAAAATAAAAAGGCCACCTTTTCCATAGCCTAGAATAAGAAAACTGGAAAACAGATTCCACTTCTCAACTAGGTTCTCAGAAGATGAAGAGATGGTAAAATTGGGTGAAGATACAATACAGATATTTTCTAATATAAGTCTTCAAAAGATTAGAGAACTACTATCATATTCAAAAAACATCAAGGATGCAGCACGAGTTAGTCCAGATTATAACATCCTAGTCTTTCCATCTCTATTACCTTTTGAAAGTAATTTAAAAGACTTTCCAGAAATATTATGCTGAGCCATAAAACACCATGACCTTAAAATACAACAAAAATCTATCTTTGGGGAAACACCTTATTTATTATTTGCATGGTCATGTTATTAAAAACCAATATACTTATTAAAAATAAAATATTTTTTAAAAATATTTAATTATATGAAAAAGTATACTTTGCAATCTCTTACTGATACACAGAGAAAAACATATAGTATATAAAATAAAACGTAAGTGCATTTTTTGCATTTTGATAAAACAGAACCCAAGCAAAATGACATACAAATATAGAGTTCACTTAGAAACAACTATTTCCTTACTTCCTCCAAATTATTCTTTTCAACCAATTTCCATCTCAGGTTAGCTTTTAAGCCTTTCAGTTTCTTCTTAATGGACAGCAAGTGATCCACACTGGGGTTCATATGTATATATTCAGTCATTTGCTTTTTAAACTAAGCAAAAGAAAGTTATATTTTCAAACATTTAAGACAACATTTATTGGTCATCTACTATTATTTTTATAGTATTCAACTATATGAAAATAGTAAGAAAATGCTACAATTTTCAACAAAACAATACTAATAAGTTTCTACTTCTTTGCTATTTATAATACCACCATTTCCAGTGCTCAAAGTAGCAAAGACAAAGCAATTATCTCAAATGAGGCATAACATAGCATATGAATTGTCAATATGAATAAAAACCATTCTTAAATGTGGTTTGACAATATACGTAATGTTCATTTCTTTTTAACTTGGAAAGTTCAATTTTAGGAATCAGAGAAACTACACATAAAAATTATACAAAGATTATGTATAAAATTTATGGTAGAAAAAACTGGAAGTAACCTTAATGTCCAATATATATGAAAGGTTAATGTTAGATGTCTATACTAGAATGATAATTTAGTCACTCAAAATGACAGTACAAAAGAATCAATAGCCATATCAGGAAATATTCATAATATACTACTAAATGAAAATATTTTTAACATAGCTTACAAAATAATGCAATGCATGTTGTATGTATGTGTGGATGTGGATTATGTGTGTCTGTCCAAAAGGAAAATACTGTGAAACTATCTTAGGCTAAGAGTATTATAAGAACTTTTTATTTCTTCTTATCTTTATATAGAAAATTGCCTAAGTTTATTTATGTAGACATAAAGAAAAAGGATGACAAAAATGTTTTCAAGTACCTAAAAGAACAAAAATAATGTATTTATAGCAACAAAAATCATTCCCACTTTATTGTGATTTCAATTATGTATCAACAGCAAAGACTATACTGTTTTCCTAGCAACAATTTATCAACACAATGAGTAATGAACTAGTGCTTAATACTTTGAGAAAAATTCAAGTATTAAAAAATTTAAAGCACCGATTCATAAGACTAATAAGAGAAAGCATAATCTAACCTCAACACTGTCTTTGTATTTGGACTGTATGGTAGCAATGAGCTTTTCCTCTGAATGGATCTTCTGCAGTACTTGACTATAAGTACTTAAAATGATCTCCCTGTCTGCATCACCTTGCTCCTAAATGAAATCAAAGACAGAATCACACAAAAAGGAATAGCCAAAATAGTAGCCAAAACCTCCAATAACAAGTAAACTTCAAAATGATGCTTCTGAAGAACTGCTACATTCACTTCATATTATCCTGATCACACCAAATGTTCCTAAAGCTGTCAGAAGCAAAATGCTAATAATGCATTTTGAGAAGGTTTTTTGTTTTTTTAATAATTTTACTGAGAAACAAATAGCAATGAGACAGTTTCAAAACCGATTAGTAGGACAGTTACAGTAATTAATACATTGCATATTATTGTCTTCTTAGTGGTTATTCATAGTACAAGACGCAGATATGATATCCTGTCCACAAACACTATTAGTACAAATCTTTCTGTTCACTGAATTAAGAGAAAGTAGCTGTATATCCATCCTATTTTGAATATACAGATACAAAATGGTCATTCATTTGTATCCCCTTTTTTGGTTTAGTTTTGTCAGAGATGGCATTTTTTGTTTTTGTTGCTGTGTTTTCACTACTGGGCATTGACCCCAGGACCTCACACAAGCTGGGCAATCATTCTATCACTGAGCTCCCCCTCCACCCTTTTTTACTTTGAAATAGGGTCGCACTCGGTTGCCCAGGCTACGCTGGAATTTTTTATCCTTCTGCCTCAGCCTCCTAAGTAGCTGAGATTACATGTTTGTGCCACCATACCTGGCATAATAATGTATTTTTAATCCAATCTAAGTGAATAAAGCTGCAAAAAATAAAGGAATACAAAGATAACCACTGAGACTTTTAAAAAGCAGACTAAATAAATAAGCAACATTAAATAAAATTACAAAATACTCAGCACCATCTTGTAGCATGGTTCCAGAATACCCTAAAGGTAAGAACTGTTGGAACTACATTCATTTTTAATTTTGAGTTTTCATAAGAACTAATAGTCTTACAGTCATTGGGTGTGATGGACTCAAGAATCAAATTACATAGATAGATGATCCACTAAGATCAAGGGGGGCTTCCCAGAATTAAATATTAAATTTCTTAATGTAAAGTGATCTAGTAAAGTGAAAACATCAGGAAGAATAAGACTTTTCACTGTTTTTGTATTAGAACTTGACAGTATTACTTTTTCAAACAAGGCTCTAAGAGTTATAACTTTCTAACTAGCAAGAAAAACTATATTACTGGTTCACACATTCCAATTAGCAAGAGAAACCACTGTTTCAAAAGAAGCAATAAAAAACTATCAATACTCACAATCTGAGATATCTCTAGTTCTTTGCAAACACATGACTCAGCCTTTTCTAGGATTTCATCAATATTACCAATTGTGCCTTCATAAGTCAGTGGTTCTTCCAAAGACAGATCAAAAACCTCATTTGCAAAAATAAAAACAAAGTATCTCAAGTAATTAAATTAGCATTCACTCTGCCCTTAAATCCAAAATAGAGTATTAGGCTATAATGTAGAGAAAATAAGATTACAGAAAAAAAATTAAGTATTTACCTTCCTAAATCTTATGTACCAGAGAAGAAAATGTACCTATACATAGACTATCTAAAGACAATTAACAGTTAAGGGAAGTGCAGGGAGAATTCAGAAAAAGTAAGAGAAAAAGAAAAAAATGTCTTTAAACAATACAAGGAACGGTCTGATCAAAAGCCAATAAAGAAACTTGACCACTCCGATCTTAAATTTATATCTAATAAGAAAGAGTAAACAGTATCAGCTCTTGAACAAAGAAAAGATATGATTAAAAACACATAATGTTTTATGCCACAAATGCCACTGAGCAACAATTCTTACCTTTAGGATATTCTGGAACCATGTTACAAGATGCTGCAGAGATCCCTCTGTTTCACTCTTAACACTGGTAAACTCCTCTCTCTTATCACACTTCCAATCATAAAATTTTCTAAGTATTTCTTCAGAGTTTATTCCTTCTTTGGCCTGTCCATACACTGCTTCTAAAGAAGTTGATAAATCCTACAGAAAGAAATCATTCTGCATTTTACTGCAGACTATAAAAATTCAAACACTATGTTAGGATTCAAAATAAGCCCATCCAGAACAGTAATGTGTTAAATCTCCACTTAAAAGAATTTTGTAAGTAAAACTTAGATTCATTAGACAGAGATGAATACATAAAACTATCAAGCAAAGTGATTTATGTAGACTACAACATTTAAAACCTATGTGAACTAGTTATACATAGTAACCTTTATATTCTTAGGATTTAATTACATACAAATTACCCTTCTTACCCTAATTTTAAAAAAGAACCATTATTCTTTATTTTTTAAAAATTAATTATGCTTATTGGTACATTTTTTCATTATTTGACTTGCTAAACAACAAACTACTGGAGGGGGAGTGCTTGCCCATAATCCCAGCATTCAGGAGGCTGAGGCAGATCGCTGCTGAGGCAGACTGCTGCAAGTTACTAGCTTGGCCTACACAGTAAGTTCATGGCCACCCTAAACTACACAGTGAGACCTTGTCTCAAAACAAAAAGAGGGGGCAAAGCCCTAGCTCAGTTCTTTAAGTGGCTGCTTCCACAAGGCTCTCAGCCTCAGGTTGCTGTAGTTCAATCCCACCACACTCCAGCCAGCCAAAAGTGCCCTGAAGGCATTCGAGGAGCAAAAAAAAAAAATAAAATAAAATAAAATCAAAACAAAAAGAAACAACATACAAAAATATATAAACATTTCAAACTAAGTAAAAATATTAAAAATAATTAAAAGTACTTCTTAAAGGAGAAGATAGTGTAGGCAACTAGCATAATCCAGAAATCAATCCCTAGAAATGCTACAGAGACAAAAGGCAAGTGTTAATAGATTCTAGAAATTTTATCACAAAACCAGTAAGAAATTCTTGAAAAGACAAGAGGTTGATTGGTGCTTAGCACTAAGGAACTACAGTTCCTGTAAATGAGAGAAGACCTGAACTACAGAATGGAACAACTACTGGGAAAAAGGACCTTTCTTCATCTACTCTACTCTCTCCCCTTCAATGGGTGGAAAAGTAGCACCCAGTGCTATTAATCAGTTGAAAGTCAGTGAAATTACACAAAGACTATACAACACAGGTGTGGCAAAAATTGACAAAACCAGTACAAAGAAATTACCAGTCCCTGAGCATGCTCCTTTTTCCCATAAAAATATGGCAACATTTACATAGTGAAAATGTGACTGCCCCAGTAAAGAATAATGACTGAAGTACAAGGACTAAGAGGTTTGCTGAAGATTAGGACCATCAGGAAAGAAGCAAAAAAAGAATAGTTGACCTTTGATTACCACAATGGAAGTTCTGCTCCTTAGAAAAACCACCATTCTATTCTCCAAACCCATACAAAGTCTTAAAAACTGAAACCCAGGCTTTCACAGACAGTAAAAAATTAGACTGACATCAGTAATTATGAAAATATGACAATGGATTATCAAAGAATCAAAAAAAATAACCTTCAGACCTAACATCTCATGGCCAGCTAAACAACCATTTATGTAGGACATGGACGGTACCCTAAAATTAATTATCTTACAAAGCCTTAACTTCATGAAGACCTTTTATAAATGCAATCTTAGGGGGGAAAAAATTTCAATACATAAACAAAACTAAGAGAAGTTCTAACAGAGCAGTCATTATAGATATGGAACTCAGTTAAAGTATCAATTAAAAGATAAATGTATAGGTTGAATTCTTTTAAAAATTAATTCATATTATATAAAAGAAAATTTTATGCTAATAAATACTGGGCAATAAAAAATGTGTGATAGAAACTTTAAAAGGAAATGGTACAATTTTATCCCAAAGTTCCCTATGAAAAAATAAGGCTACACAGTATTTAAAAAGTATATAGCATATAGAATTATGTAAAGTACACATATGAAAATATTGAATGACTGCTACTGGCATATGTATTTACTACACTACAGATTTTGTTTTTTAATCCACTGTCATATTTTCATAATTACTGATGTGATGTGAGGGGTCCAGCCCTCACAAAGGGGATCAGGGTACAGGGAGAATGGAATGAAAAGAAAGGAAGCTGGGGTCAGGAGATCTGGACTGCTGGTCCAGCAATTAGGTTTATTTTGCTTCAAGCTGATATACAGAAAATCTTGATCATGTGCCCAACATTTGTCCTAGTTAACTCTAAGCCTTCTTCATTTTTCTGGGACCAGAATAGATTGCCAAGGCCAAGTTGATAAAACAGAAGGCTTCATATTCCAGAACACTGAATCCACAGTTGGGGCCTCTGCCCAAACTGCAGGTCAAGGAAGCAGTGCACACTGCCACATTCTACTTCCTTATCAGATTGTTCCTTCGCAAATCTGACCTCCAATATACTCCTTATTAAAAAGTTAACTATAAAACAGCCTCTCTCAGGTCCTTTAGGCAGTATTTTAGAAGAAGGCATTGTTATGATAGGATCTGATGGCTTTATGCATGTTATTGTCTCTGAAGACCTTCCAGTAGTATAAAATGTGGAGGTACAAGACAATGATATTGATGATCCTGATCCTTTTCAGCTCTGTGGTGTTTGATTTCCTCTCCATTGGGGTCCCCTGAATCTGCTTTGGGAAACCTAGGAGTCACTGAAGGCATTTTACTGCCTTCTTTTTCATGTACCTGTGTGTATGAGTGATTATGTGTGTGTGTCTGCGTGTGTATGTCGTAAGTACTAAAGGTTGAGGTGAAATAAAGTGAGGAGAATACGCTGTAGGTATAAAAATCTTTTCAGTTAAGTTCTGTTTTCCAGTGATGTGCTCTTGGCTTTGTCAAGAGGCTTTATTTACCACTGTCACAGCTCAGTAATGTCCTGGCCCTGAAACAGCAGCTTCTTTTTAGGAAACCCCAATCCTGCAGCCTGATCATGATATCATGCACAGGTATCCTCCCTATGAGAGGACCCAGCCATTAGGGCTCTGCCAGATGGGGTGTACAGCCCTATTTTTCAACTGCTCCTATAGCTTTGCAGCATCAAGCTCTACAGCTAGGGTTGGCCTTAGTCTTGAACTCCTGAGACAGTCTCAGTTCTACAGAGGCTCTCCCTATTCCACTGCCTCTCTTCTTCTATTTCTTACTGTTAGAAGTTCAGAGGCTGGCCAGACAGCTCAGTGGACTAAAATCCCAGGCACCAGTGACCAGGGTTGAATTACCAGTGTGCCATGCCAACCCTGCCCCCAGGGCACACTGAGACAGCTACTGAGACTAGATGTGGTGGTACACGCCTATAATCCCAGTGCCTGGGAGGATGAAAACAGGAGGATCACTATGAGTCTTATCTTTCGATGGGCCTATTGTACATTATTACCATTTTGTCTCCAGGTATCTTCCCTGCAATGATAACATCGTCTTCATTATCACTCTTATCACCACTCTGATTCAAAACCAACTCAGTTCATCTCACTGTCAGTGCATGAATTAACAGATGGAGCCTCATTATCAATATTAAGTATTTTTTTAATATTCACTTCTACCTTACTCATACAGTTCTGAATTCAGAAGAGAATTGTGAAAATTTATTTTCTGCATTTGTCAGAGGACAAGTATAGAGCTTTAGTGGGGAGTCACCTTGCAAATATTATATCTAAACTTGCTGGTTAAGAAAACATAAGCCTCTGCATCTTCCTTTCTCCTGAAACCATAACAAATATAGCCACACTGTTCAGCTACCATCTACTTTGTGACTAAGTTCGTTCTCAGTGGAATACTGCTGAGGCAGGTCCACTAAAAATATGTATTGTGAGATATGGGTTGAAATTATAAAACAGAGCAGAGCTTCCTGGGTGTTAGAAACTGGCAATTTTTGAGGGGATGAAAAAAGAAGGCTTGTGTGAATATATACAGGAGCAAAACTTGAGTCATAGGAGCACAAGAAACATGAAAAAAAACTCCTCCAAAAGTTAATACCTTGGGGCTGGTGAGATGGCTCAGTGGTCTAAAGCACCTACTTAGAACAAGCTTAGCAAAGCACAGGGACTGCAGTTCAATCCCCCAGCACCACATGCCAGCCAGCCCCAACCCCTGGTGGGCTGAGCTGGCCACACACACACACACACACACACACACACACACAAATTTTTTTTAAAAAAGTTAATACCTTCATAGTAATTAATCCCAATGACATCAAAGAGTACAGATAAAGAAGTCAAAAGAATCTTAATGGAATGCAACTGGAAATCAGTAGTAAGAGAAACAAAAGAAAGTCTACAAACATGGAGATTTAACAATTCACTTCTGAATAATTAGTGAATTATTAAAGAAATCAAAGAGGAAACTTTAAATTCCTAGAATCAAATGATAAAAACATACCAGAATATCTGAAATACAAAAAAAAAAAAAAAAAAGTTCTAAAACAGATTATAGCTATCCTCCTTCTCAGCCCTGAATGCAGTCATGTGCCACTTCATTCAGCTGTCAAACTTGTAACTTTTATTTATTTGTGTGTGTGTGTGTGTGTGTGTGTGTGTGTGTGTGTCCAGCTCAGCCCACCAGGGGGCGGGGCTGGCTGGCATGTGGTGCTGGGGGATTGAACCGCAGTCCCTGTGCTTTGCTAAGCTTGTTATAAGTAGGTGCTTTAGACCACTGAGCCATCTCACCAGCCCCAACTTGTAACTCTTAAAACATAACAAGGGCCAGCCTGATAGCTCAGCAGACTAAAGTGCCTGCGCAGGCAGAGTGTGCAGCCTGGGTTCGGTCCCCAATGTGCCATGCCAGCCCCGCCCCCGGGGCTCACTGAGACAGTGATGAGACTGTGAGACAGTGATTAAAACTGGGCATGGTAGCATGCGCCTGTAATCCCAGCATTTAGGAGGCTGAAAACAGGAGAATTACTGAGTCTGATCTACATAGGACATAGTGAGACCCTATATACCCTGTAGACCCCGTCCTAAATAAAGAAAAAAAAAATCAACCGTGGTATAAGTACTTGATTTTTTTTTAAGTCGCATTTACACTACTAAAATGCCAAGTCCTACACC